AAGTACAGAGAGGTTAAAGCGATACAACTGGTAAGTGGTAGACTTGGTATTTGAATTCGGTCTGTCTGGGATTAGACTCTGTGTGCTTAGCCAATGAAACAGAAGTACAGCCCTGGCCGGCTTGGCTCAGCGGTTAGAGCGTCAGCCTGTGGTCTGGAGAGACCCGGGTTCGGTTCACGCTAAGGGCGTGTACCTTGGTTGCAGTTTGTCCCCGGCCCTGATTGGGTCGTGTGGGTGGTGACCACTCGATGTGTCCCTTTTATGTCGATGTTTCTCTCTCTCTCTCCCTCCCACTCTATCTGAACAAAATATTTAAAAAAAAGAAAAAGAAAGAAAGAAACAGAACTACAGTCAATTCACTATGGCCCTTTATCTCCCTGGTCTCAGTCACCCAGTCTCAATCTGGCCCATACCATTTTCAGAGTATATGCACAGGGAGAGGGGCGGCTGAGTAATGTCCTTTCACAATGAGGAGATCATCAGCAGATAAATTTGCTTTGTCCTTGGTCATTCTCTGACCAAGAGGCAGTACCAGAGCCAAGGCAGGATGTGATGGGAAAAGCGCGTCTTCCAGACCTTGCTCATCTCAGCGTCTCCAGTGCCAGCATAAAGCAGGCCATCAGACATGGAGACAGCGTTGTGCCATAGTAACACCACAGTTTGAGTTAACTGCCCTCTCATGTCCTCTCCCAGGAAGGAGTGGGGCCTCTTGCAATGGATCATATGCAAGTGGGATTGGGGAGAAGAGATTCAGAGTGCATTCCAGAGGTGAATACAATTGCAAAGCTGAGTCAGAAAGGGAATGAATGGTTATTGGCCTGTAGTTTGCAGAATGATAGAACCTCGGGTTTCAGAAAGATGTTAAAGGTTATTATTGCCAGCTACCCTCCAGTGCCTGATTCCCCTAGGACAGCTCTGCCGAGCAAATGCCCAGCCCCTGCTTGGATACCTCCACTAGTGGGGACCTTACTACCAAACAAAATCCAGTTTTATATAGCTCTGTTAGAAAGTTGGACTTTTGTTAAGGGGAAATCTATCTTCCTGTAGCTTTCATCAGTTGGGTTCACCTACCTGTGGGATGCTAGAAAACAAGTCAGCTCCCACTTCCACACAACAGCCCTGGAGAGATTTAGAGTAAATGAGCATGTCCTCATTGAGTTTTTCCTTACCAGGCTAAATACTCATAGATGCTTGAATTATGTCTCTTCTCATATGGTTTCCAGACCCTTGTACTGACTGCTTCCTGCTTTGCTTTGAGTTCTCCAAGTATGGAGCTAGACCACCCCACAGAGCACCAGCTCACATCAGAACAGAACCATCCTTTCCCTAATATGAGAACTTAAATGTCTATAATGAGTTCCTGGGATCAGAAATTAGTACTCTGAGTTTCAAGGGGTTCCAGGGCTTTTCGGTGAATTTGTTCTTAGTCAGAAGGGGGCAGGAAAAAAACAATTAGTTAGGTTTCTGTGGCTGGGAAGAGAAAGTAGCTATACATTTTTTTAATGCTTATTACATGTCAGATACTGTGCTAAACATGGAACATGGATTATCTCCTTTAATCCACTCAACACCCCTTGTTGGTAGTACTTTTATGACACACATTTCACAGCTGAAAACACTGAGGCTTAGGGAAGCTCAAGGTTTTCCCAATCTAGGGGGTGTACGCTGACTCAGTCCAGATAGTAACAGGGAGCAACAGGTGCAGATTTGGGGCTTCAACAAAGAGCAGCATCAGGCAGTGATTATGCTTCAGTAAAGTAAGGTATAACAGTGCGAATGGGGAGTCAGGGGTGAGAACAGGACTTCTAAGACCCCCAAAGGCAAAGAAGGAGAAAGCCATGCCAGAGTGGCACAGAAGGTCGTGATGTGTAGGGGAGTAATAACAGTAACAGCTACCATTTGTTAAATGTGTGCAAAACCAGGCGTTTTGCATACGTAATCTCCTTTAATCACAAACACTTTAACTGGGAATTACTATTATGATCGCTATGTTACAGATGAAGCTACTGAGGCTTATCGAGGTTAAATGACTCACCGAAGGCTACACAGCTGGTAAACAGCAGCGTCAAGATTGAAATTCAGACCACTGACTCCAGACCCATGGCCCTCTATGACTCCCAAAAGGGAAGACTGTTGGCAACATTTAAGGAAAGGAACTTTCTCTCTCATGAGATGGGGAATTCTAAAATTTACAAGAACTTGGGGCTACAGGCAATGCTTGGCAAGAGAGGACAGGGAACCTGGTTCTGGATGAGATGATTTTCCTGACTCTTTACATCTGCAGTGCCAATCCCCTGATGCTATCCCAATTTATTTCAGAATCAGAAACCTAAGAGGTGAAATGTTACCTGTTTTTATGCCTCGTAGTTTTTTTTTTTTTTTAATGTAAACAATGTGCCTTCTTTTGATTCAATGGTTTTTAAACTGGAGGACTTGTTAAAACAGATTGCTTTACTCCGAGTTTCTGATTAGTTGGTCAAGGGATGCAGCCTGATAATTTGCACTTCTAACAAGTTACCAGGTGGTGCTGATGCAACTGGTTCTAGGATTACACTGGAGAACAACAGCTTTAGTCTATCAGTAAAGCTACTTGTGAAATTTTCTAAACTGACTTGTCTGTGAGAAGGTAAATACAGAAAAAGCAAAGGACTTGCCCAGAAGCCAGAAGCAGGGAGAGTGGGTTGGGGTGCAGACACAGTGGCCAGCTACGTGGATAAGAGCCTGGATGGGCTGGAGAAGAGAAGTCACAGCTAGAAAAAACTAGCTATTCCTGGATGGAAATAGGGGACGCAGAAGGCCTGGGTGAGCTACGCAGGGGAGCCAGACTGGCTACAGAGACAGAGATCTGGCAAGGGCAAAAGTCAAATGGGGTAGAGCTCTTGTCAAAAGTTGCAGGCTTCTGGCTGGGCCACAGGAAAAGAACAGGGGAGGGAGGACACAAGCAGCCAGGAGTGAGCTCCTGGGATTGTGGCCTGTGACAGAATCTGGTGATCACATTTCAGCTGCGACTCAGTGTCTCCAAAGCCTCTCTCTGCATCTTTATGGCCATCAGTCATAAGTGCCCAGAATTTGTCCTCTGACAGTAGTGAGGTGAAGTTCTTGCAACAAGAGAACCAAATACAGCACTAAACATTGTTTCTTCCACTTAGCAGTGGTCAGACAGAAGTGGGCAGGGCCAAAGCTGGGGAACTCACAGTCATGTGGTTTGACCTCTGATGTTCTCCAATTCCTAGGCTGCATTTCTCCTCTTGGGAAACTGACTGAGCGGCAGTGTTTTCGGAGTGCAGAGAGCAGCTCTTGTGGCTGCAGCAGTGGGCTAGTGGCTGGGTGCCTGGCAGCTCTCACTACTCCTGGAATTGGACAGCTAGGAGAGGAGGCTCCTTTTCTTTGGTACCAGGAGAGGAAACATCTTTCTGCAAAACTGCATGCCAATATTTCTTTCAGCTACAGGTACAAAATTGTGTTCATAGGCCCTCCCTGGACCCTGGCCTTGAAGTACTACCCACCTAGCCTGAGCCAAATTCCTGTTTTCCCTTTTGTGCCTTTTATCCCATTTCCTGTGCATGTCTGTTCAGTTAAAAAAGGATTTATTGAGTGCATACTAGAGGTCAGGCCCTGTGACTCCAGTACAGTACAAGAAATCTCCACCGTCAAGGAAATCACAATATGGTCAGGGAGATCCCAATATAGAGATAATTACAGCCTTGTAGGATGAATGCTGTTGCTTAAACATAAAGCTCATGCCCTCTCAGGCCTTTTGTATTTGCTGTTCCTTTTCTTTAGAATGCTCTTCTCCAGATCTTTGGATCATTCTCTCACTTCACTCAGGTCACTCCTGAGAGAGGCCTTCCCTGACTTTCCCATGGAAAATGGAGCCCTCGAAATTCTGAGTCCATTTTACCCCATGTAAAATGTTAGCACCTCTAACCACTTCACATTATCTCTTTAAATTGAGGGGAGGGTGGAAGGGTCAGCCTCCCATACTAGATTGCAAGCTCTGCAAGAGAGAGCAGGGCCGTGTCACTGCTGAATTCTCGGCTCATAGAACTGGTACCCAAGGGGCACTCAATATGTTTCCCTTTTGTTCATTCGTCGTGATTGCCCAGTTGAACTTTTCTGAGTCTGTCAGAGTCATGGAAATGGAGGATGAGGCCTGTCTTCTTGGGAAACATTTTCAACCCTACCTTCCCAAGCTTTCTACAGTCTGCACTGTGCCCTCAGTCCAGACTGAGAAGGATCTAGCTCCCCACCAATAACTATAAAATACTGAGCATTAACTGTGTAGTGGGCCCTTTAAATACGGTATTTAATCCTCACAATGCTCTGCAAATCAGTATTATTTCTCTTATTTTACCTAAGATAAAACAGGCTCGGGGAGAGGGACTTGCTCAAAATCACAGATAGCAAGGCTCTCTGGGAAAGGTCTACCCACATTTCTGCCCCATCCTTACAGTCCTTTTCCATGTTTCCACTGCATCCCCATCACAGCCTTTCCCCTTTCACGGGACAGCTGGGTCTGGGCTAGCCTCGCTGCTCCTCCAGCGCCAGTTTGGGGAGGTGCTTCAAATGCGTGCAGGATGGAGAGGGTGCAGATCTACGCCCAGGCCCAGAGCTCTCCCTCCGTTACCCTCCCCGCGGGCCGGCTGCTGGATGCCCAGTAGTCCATTGCAAGGCCTGCAGCGATCGCGCGCCCCGGAGGAGAGAGGATGGGGGAAGGAAGGCGAGGCTCTTTCAAAGGACCGCGGGACAGAGAGGCGCACACTCCCTCCTCGATGCCTCTCCCTCCTGGCATCCGACCCGGCCGAACCAAACCCGTCTGGCAGCAGCGCGCATGCGCGGGCGCTTCTCACCCCCCCCCCCCCATCCCCGGCGCGGGCCGCCCTTTCACCCAGGCAACCGCGGCTCACAACGGCGCGCGCGCGGGCTGGGCGCGGACCGGGCGGGGCCGGGAGGCAGCGCTGCGGGCTGAGGCTGAGGCGGCGCGGCCGAGGATAGCGGCGGCCCGGTGTAGCGGTCTTGGCGTGTCCGACCTCCCTCCGCTTCCTCACACGGTTCTCCGGCGCGGTTTCGGAGGCAGTGGACTTAGCCCCCGGCCATGGACTCCCAGAAAGTAAGCGGGGACGGGGCGCTGGCCCACCGGGCCGGGCGGAGGGTGGGCGGGGCGCCCCGGCGGCTGGGCGGTGGGCGGTGGGCGCGCGGGGTAGCGGCCCGGCCCGGCGGCGGGGGCGAGGCCCTCCGTCCTCCCTTCCCGGAGGGAGCGAAGCTGCGCCCGCCGGACTGCGGACTGTGCCTGCCGACCGCGCCCGGTGACCCGGGCTGGCCTGTGCCCTACACTTGGTCCTGGGCCCCGGCCCCTTAAGGTAAATAGGGAGGCGTCCCTGTACCTTAAGCAGTAATTTCTGCAGCGCTCCAGGCCCCTCTGATTCGAGACGCCTCCTAGCATGCTAGGGAGGGTTGTCCCCCTGAGCACGGGAGGAAACCAAGGCACGTGCGTCCACCTGCTGTCGCCAAGCGGACGTTCGTTCGTTCCTCCGCCCGGCCATGGCCCCGGACTCTTGGCACAGTGTATGTGCTGCTCTGGATGGGCCCCCGGATCGCCCCCACCCCCTCGAGGCCAGTTCGTGGGCAGGTCTTCGTGTTTCGTGTGGGTTGACTCTAGGGAAAAACTCGGACTTGTCCGGGCAGCGGTCGCACGCTCTTCGGCCAGCTCGGTGTTGCTGGTCACAGTTGCCTTGGTGGTGATGGTGGCATGTTGTACACTTCCCGAACAAGTTAAGGAAAGGATGTAGGGACCTAGCCGGTTCAATTAAAAACATTTTTTTAGAGATTGTAGTCAGTGTTTTGAGTACAGTTAGAAGTGAGTTATTAATAGTCATCCACAATCTCTCTATAAAAATCAACCACCCTGTTCTCTTTGTTAGGTGACAGTAATTGAAATGTAGTGCAGTAAGGAAACACAGTGTTATTAATAATGTAGCAGGGAAAAACAAGGGCATATCCAAGCAGCCGTTCTTTTCTATTATTAGATAGAAAGCACTGGAAAGATCTATTAGGTCTTTCTGTAATTTTGTCTGGATTCACCTCCTTGAGGAGCACTAGGGGCATGAGAGAATAGTGTAGGGACGTGTTAAGTGTTGACCATTATAGTATTTAACAAAAGTGCACGTGATTTCATTGTAGCTTGAAACTCAATTGGGTGTGTACTCAGTGTTTATTTCTATGAGTATTAGACATTTAAAAAAACTACATTTTGTGTGTTTTGAGTAAGTACACGTGTAAAACATTTCTGCCTAAATTTGTAAAACATTTCACAGATTATTTAACTTTTTAATTGAAAGTCATATGAAATCTGAACGGATATTATTAGTTCAGGGCAAATGGAAGGGCAAAGACTTGGAGTCCAGAGACTTGGGTTCTATGCTGCTGTTGACTGTGATATGGAGCAAATCACTTAACTATGATTAATCTATTTCTTCATCTTTGCAGTGGAAGTAAGAATATTTTGTAGGGTTATTATAAAAATCAGGTAAAATAATTTATTATGAAAACACGTATAGTGTTTTAAAAGTTTATAAAAATAATCTTTTTAAATTAATTAATTTTTTTATCCTCACCCGAGGACATTTTTTGATATTTTGTTCAGATAGAGTGGGAGGAAGAGAGAGAGAGAGAGAAACATCGACGTGAAAGGGACACATCGAGTGGTTGCCACCTGCACAACCCAGCCAGGGCCAGGGACAAACTGCAAAACTGCAACTGAGGTACGTGCCCTTAGCGGGAACTGAACCCCGGTCTCTCCATACCGCAGGCCGATGCTCTAACCGCTGAGCCAAACCGGCCAGGGCTATAAAAATAATTTTCAAAACTATTTTAATATGGATCATCTTATTTTGTCAGGGTATGCATTATCCCTTACTTTCATGAGGACTCAGGATCCTGCAAGGTCAATCACTAACTAGAGGGCTAAGATTTGAACTTGGTCTGGTTCCAAATGATGTAAATGAGTACCAATACATACTATGTGTGGTTTCCCCAGAGGAAACAAAGACTTAGCTGTTCTTTCTTACTGGTACCAATATAGCTTATTTGTGATAACTTTGAGAATAACTTTAATCAATATAAAAAAATGTGTTGAATTTCATTGGTGGTATAAAATAATATTTTTAATTTAAAACCCCTTTTTTTTGTTTTACAGCTTAAAATGAGTATTTGGTGTTACTACTTATAACCGTGAATTGTTACCATGAATTACTGCAGAATCAGTTATATACAGGGTGGGACAAAAGTAGGTTTAGAGTTGTGAATACACACAACAGTATATTCTTGTATTTTTATTTATTTATTATTGTATTATTTTCCATACTAACAACTGTAAACCTACTTTTGCCCCTACCTGTACTTCAACTAATAATGAACTAAACTGAATATATATTTGTCTTTAAATAAGACAGTAAGTAGTACACCCCTGGCATGATTTTTCTTTCCTACTATAGAATGTTATAATGAAAATAGCAGGGGTGGTGCCTTAGTCAGTGTAAGGAAAATGGTTGGGTACTGCAAGTGGCAAAGGGTGAGAATGGCTTTTGTAAGGTATTGGGATTTGGGTTTTAAATTATTAAAAGGATGGCTTTGGAGCCGACTCCTGTCCTACTATTTCTGAGCTGAGTGAGCACGGCTAATTTGCTGTGTGTTTCTGTTCCTCAAAGGTTGTTGTGAGGATTGTGTTAATTTCTAAAAATCATTTGGTGCCTAGCACACATGAATACTCTCTGTTAGCTCTTGTTATTAATTTCATAATCCCAACTTTAAAATAACTTTCTTTTGTTGATAATTTATATGACTATTTTTTAAATCTTGTCTAGCCATTTTCACCTTTATCCTTAAGTTTTAAAATGTGTTTTCTGTTTTTATATCTGTAATAAATGATTTCAAGTGGTGATGCCAAAGAAAAGTTGTTAAATCCTAATTGAAAGAGGATTGGAAGTTCTGACTCAATGCAATCTGACAATAGAGGTTAACTGGACAGTCTTACAGAAGCTTGATGGTGGCCAGTCAGCAAATGGATTAGCTTGACCAGCTGCTTTTTTGTTTGTGAAAATAACTTGGAATTCAGTATTGTGTTAGCAACAGATGCTCTGTTTGAGTAGAGGAAGAAAACATAATTGCCTTGGGTATGTAAGGCATACTGTTGGATACAGAAAACCACAGTATTATCTCCTAGAAATAAACAGAGGGATTTTTGTTTATATCGAGTTTCTGGGACACTTTTGTGAACAGGATGTGTTATGGATAGGTGGTTTTGTTTGATACTCAAACCTTTTAATTATGTCCTTAAGTGGTTTTAAGATAAAATCCCAAAGCTTTCTTTACCTGATAAAATGTCTATATTCAAAGAAACTATTGAAACAAATAAGACATTTATACCTTTTTAGAATGTTGGCACTTCGAATTTGATAGTTTAAGTTAAATTTTTGTACAGGAGCTCATTCACATTCGTAGGGGTTGCTGTTTCTAGGAAAAGGTACCTGCTGTAAGAATAATAAAGGTAGAGAGGAAGGGGAAGGAATCACAGAGGAAGGATGTCACCAAGGGCATACATTGTCAGTTGTTTGCTTTTTCCCACTTTTTCCTATGTATTCTTTGCTTTCTACTTGGAAAGGGTTAGTGGCAGTCAGGTGAGGCTTGACTGTGTAAGACTGGACAAACCTAGTGTGGGGAGATTGAACTGAGTAGGGGGAGTTTAAAGCATGACAGCCTGCAGCAAGCAGCTGTCTGCACTTGGCTTCCTTATTCCAGTTTCCTCCTCTGGTGTTGGTATCCTTTGCCTTCATATTGTGCCCTAGCACTTCAAAGACTCCACCCTATCAAGATAACCTATCAACTGTCAAATGTTCTAAAATCACTTCTTCTTCTTGTTAAGAAATTTCCTGAGAAAAGGAAATAAAATAAAAATTGAGTATTGTTTTGCATCTAGTATTGTGTTAGACTGCTTTAAACTCTCACAGCACCTCTTATTCCTACTGCACAATATGGAAAATGAAACTTGGAGAGGTTAAGTGACTTCAGAGTCACACAGCTAGCAAGTGGTAGTGTGGAGTCAAACCAGATCTCTCTTCACCGCCAGGCTTTTTTCATTACCACCAATCTTGCCTGAATCCTTTGCCTTTAAATGGTGGTCTAGCTAAAGTAACTAAAACTTAAGATGTTAACAGGAATAAACCCCTATAAAGTAATTAAAAAAAAAAAAAGCCTGTTAAGGCTAGCAAAAATAGTTGCTAGAAAGTATAGAACATAATTTAGATAGAAATCAGGGATTTGGTCTTTTTTGCTGTTTCAAATAAAGTCATTGTTTTTCTGAGGTATATACAGGTGGGGTAAAAGTAGGTTTACAGTTGTTCATATGGAAAATAATAAAATAATTAGTAAATAATAATACAAGAATTAACTGTGTTTCATGTAATCGCAATAGTAAATGTACTTTTGCCCCACCCTGTATATCTTTCCTCTCTCCAACTCTTGTTCTTTTATGAGAGAGGGTCTTGCTTTCTAAAGTAGAGCTGTGAACAGGAAAGCATAAGAGGGGTTTTATACACCCCAGCCAAGCACAACTGCATTACCATGGAATGGATCAAAGTAATCTGGGATGATGTGCAAGGCATGAGGTATCCTCTTCAAAGGACCATACTGACATACTCATAATTACTATATTTAAATACAGATACCTTCATTTCTTATTGAATTTGGCAGTTTAAGAAATTAGAAATATCTGCCCTGGTGGGTTTGGCTCAGCGGTTCGAGTGTCGGCCTGCGGTCCAGAGAGGCCTGGGTTTGGTTCCCGCTAAGGGCACGTACCTTGGTTGCAGTTTGTCCCTGGCCCTGGTTGGGTCTTGCGGGTGGCAACCACTCGATGTGTCCCTTTTACGTCGATGTTTCTCTTTCTCTCTCTCCCTCCCACTCTCTTTGAACAAAAAGTGGAAAAAATGTCCTCGGGTGAGGATAAAAAAAAAAAAGAAAGAAAGAAATTAGAAATATAATGAAGCGGACCTTTTTAAAAACACTTTAACACAATACTTCTTTGTAATGCCTAGCTGAATATAAGAAGGATTATTC